AAAAAAATATAGTTAGAGGACTAACTGTTCTCTAACAGAATAAAAAGTTTTTCGTTATCTTTAACCAAGTAGACGAAATTGAAATGAATCTGAAAGTTAATAGACCACTTAAAAATAAAACATAGTTTATAGACTAAAATGAAATCAAGGTGATAGTTAATAGACTAAAAATTGAATTAAGCCATTTAAACTTAAGATGGTTAGGATATTTTTAAGTCAGTTTTTACAAATCTTAAGATTATCTCTCCTTGAATAATTTTAAGAGTGCACCCCCTCTTCTATATGTTGCATTTAAAAGAAATTAATTTTTTTAGATATTAGCTCTAACACTTTAATCCTTTACTTAATTTATAAGAGGATACTTGTATTTTAATAGATCTAACCTTTGAGATTAGTATGGAGAAGCTTTTTTAGAAATACTACTAAAATGAGAACCTATTAGAGTTGATTCAAGTGGTTAAAAGTCATTGGTAATATGTTAAAAATATGTGTTTGAATCCCATCCAACATCATTTAATTGCAAATAATTGGTAATAATTCACATGTACTATGCTTGAAAATAGGATTTTATTCGATATTTTTGGTTAGAACAATTTATAAATATTCGTGAAATTAATTAAGCTAAAAATTTAGATAATTTATGTTTTAAAAAAGATAACTTGTATTTTAAGAATATATATTAGAAAAATTCTATAAAAAACACTAAAAAGAGAAAAATAAGTAAAAAGAAAGAAAAAGGAACTTTTCTAGATAATAAAACAGAGAAAAAGAAAAAGAAAAAGAAAGGAGAATTATTGGTCTCCAAATTGAAAAGAAAGACGCCGATGGAAAGTGGCGCCTTTTTGCAATCTTGACGAAGGATAATCACTAGGAGGGCAGGGGTGAGGTGACCCCATGAATTGTGCCTATCATTTTGTAAGAAAAATAATTGACCTTCTAAATTAATGCTTTTTGCCCGCCAATATTTATTGTCTTTACACGATACCATGTGATCTGCCAGTTGTTAATGTTATTTGTGATGTGCGAGGGAAGTCGTCAGCAATGACAAAGCAGCTGTTAAGAAAAAACAAATCTTTTAATATATATTTTTAGGACAAATATTAAAAACATATTTATTATAATTTTTTATTATTAATTTTTATATAAAAATAAATTTTATTTTTAATATTAATATCATGTAAAATATTTTAATTAAATCATTAATAAGATTAAAATTAATTTTTATTTGTTTATACAAATTAATAATAAAAATATATTTTTTTAAAAAATTTTAAAAATATTATTATTATAAAAAATAAAAAATATTATTATTTTTTTTTATAAAATTAAAAATTTTAGTATTTAAAATAAAATATTTGAGGACCAGAATGTGGAAATCATAGGTGTAAAGGTTGAGATTACTTTTACAAATGTGAGAAAATGGCATCATCAATTCATCATAGACTTGAGAAAAAGGGTAGGAGAACGAGCACCGAAAATCATCATGCTGATAAAGACCAAGACCAACATCGTGCACACAACCATCTATGCAGGAATAGCCAAAGAGACCCCATTCAACAATTTTTTTAAATAAAGTTTTTTTTAGTCAATATCTTGGGGGTTCAAGCATTAAAATAAATGTTTAAGAAAAATAATTTTTTAAGAGTACATCCAATTAATACTTGTGGCACAATTTAACTCATTAAAATATTATATCAAATGTCACGAATAAGAACAATTTACGATTTTTTAAAGAGTTTTTTTTTTTAACTTATACCATCCTTTTATTTTCTTTTATAATTTTAGTAAAATCAAATAAGTGAAGGGAATGGTAGGGAAGTTTAGTAAAATGGAAGGATTCTGTCTCCTCTCCCTCCCTTTACATCTACTCAGATTCACTTAAAGCAAGTAAAGGGTTAATATCTTAAATAATTAGAACAATTAAATAAAGATGGAGTAAAAATGTTTTTCATCCATTAATTTTTAATTATTGTTTATTAAGCTTTTTACATATTAGAAATTTATAATTAATTTATCCTTTCACCTATATGACTAAAATATTAAAAAACAAGAGACAAGAGTAAAGAGAAATATGATTTTTTAGTAATAAGATAAAGATAAAGTAAGAAAAAATTCTTGTATACTTTATACTATATTGAAAAATGATAATTAATTAATTTAAAACAAATTTTTAATTGAAAAATGACTATTTTATCGTAGAAAGAGTACCAAAAATAAATAAGTAGGTTTGTTATCTATGAAAATTGTGAAGGTAAAAAATGTCTCTTGAATATTAAACAAAGTAGATTAATTAAACTTTTCTAGAAATATTAGGAATGAAAATACACTCAAGGTTCTCAGCCGAACTAATTTGTATAATGCATTAGCTGGCGAATCTCTAAGGTTCAAGCCCTTTCTCCACATTTGTAGTCCGTTCAAGAAAAATACACAAAGAAGTGCTGAAGTTCAATGAGGAAAATGATATTGGGATGAAAAGGAAATGGTTTCAATTTTCATTAGGAATTTGCTGGCTTTTTACTATTTAGAATGTAAGAATTTGTGGGATCTGACAAAAAGTCAAATTGGGTGGCAAACACTCAAAGATTTTAAATCTTATTTTATAGACTTTTTCGTGTTTTAAGGCAGGTTTAAGTCAATGATTGTGTTAATTTTTTTTTTTTAGTAAAAACAAATATAGATAAAAAATTTGATGCTTGAGATGTGTGAGGTTACAATATTTTAAGTTCTAAGTTATAGAGATGCAAAATGAAATGAGGAACGGAATGCATACAAACTCCAAATTCAGCACAAACCGATAATTAATTCCATTAAACCACTTTATTTTGATATTCCAAGCAAAAAGTTAAATACATTTTTATTCCTAAAACTTTATTGAAGAAAAAGAAGAATGGATCGTTTTGAGTAACCTTTTTTGAAGCACTAAAATATTGCAGGAGAGACGGGTGAGAGGAGAAAGTATGCCAATCCTTTGGTCGGCCATCTCTTACATTCCGTATCCTTCACATTCACACAAATAAGGATTTTCTTAATCATTATGTACACAGACCAAATGAACACTTGGCCTCGTGTTCTTTAAGATAAACAACCAGAGCTGTTATGGATTGCACAGTGTGTAACATAAAAACCAACAAGGGTATTTAAAAAAAAGGCTCATATTTCATGCACCCAATTCTTTCAAAATCTTTATTAAGGTCTCTCTCTCCAATATTTTTTTGAAAAGCTGAAACTTTCTTGTAAGTTCCCAGAAAGTATATTTTCTTGGGTGGGTTCTTGTTCTTTTGTGATTGGCCATGAACTCATAGAGGTATGTCAAAGGCTTTGTTTTTCAGTTTCCAGTCGTTTATTGTGTTCATGGCCTATGTTCTCTTGAATCTTCGATTCCATTCTTCCGCTGATATCTTATGCATTTATTGATCTCCCCATAGAAGGAAATGAATTTAGATGAATTTGTATCTGGGTTGTTCATGTTTTGCTCTTTGGTTGAGATCTAAGTCGTGAAATTTCAATTCTTCATGTGAATGCAACCTTTGGTATGTTTTACTGTTCCATTTTAGTGCTGTTTGATGGATATGGAGAGACCATGTTGTAGGTTTTTCGTGGTTTTTGTTATTATTGTTGCTCCTTTGGCTCATCAATCAAAAGGGGTTAACACTGAGAGCCAATTCCTTCTGAATATCAAGAGGGAACTTGTTGACAAATTCAACCACTTAGGGAATTGGAACCCTGATGATGCCACACCTTGTGAATGGAATGGGGTATATTGCACCTCTGAGTTTAGTTTTAATCCCGTGGTTATCTCTCTTAATTTGAGTTCAATGAACCTTTCTGGTTCTCTGTCTCGAAGCATTGGTGGGTTGGTTCATCTAACTTCCCTTGATCTTTCTTTCAATGGGTTAACCCGAAAAATTCCTAAAGAGATTGGCAACTGTTCTAGTTTGATGGTTCTTAATCTCAATAACAATGCATTTGAAGCTCAAATTCCCAAAGAGATTAGAAGAATTTCTTCTTTGGCAATTCTGAATATATACAACAACAGAATATCTGGGCCTTTTCCGGAGGAAATTGGAGATCTTTATTCTTTGGTGCAATTGCATGCCTATAGCAACAATATTAGTGGTTCAGTGCCTCATTCTTTTGGAAAACTGAAAAATTTGAAAAGTTTCCGGGCAGGACAGAATTTGTTATCAGGAAGCTTACCTTCGGAGATTGGTGAATGTGGGAGCTTGGAGTATCTTGGTCTTGCACAAAATCAGTTAACTGGGGAGATACCAACAGAGATTGGAATGCTTCAAAACTTGACAGATTTGATCCTTTGGGGTAATCAACTTTCTGGATCTGTCCCAAAGGAGCTTGGCAATTGCACAAATTTGTCAACTCTTGCTCTCTATGACAACAAACTTGTTGGACTTATACCAAAGGAGCTTGGGAATCTCATGTCTCTGTGGAGGTTATACATTTACCGAAATGGATTGAATGGAACAATTCCAAGGGAGCTTGGAAACCTTTCTTTTGTGGAAGAAATTGATTTTTCAGAGAACATGTTGACCGGGGAGATACCAGTTGAGTTAAGTAAGATAACTAGGTTGTTGTTGCTTCATCTTTTTGAGAACCAGCTTACAGGACTTATTCCAGTAGAGCTTACCACCCTAAAGAATTTGAAAAAACTCGATCTCTCCATAAATCATCTCCAAGGTCCTGTTCCTATGGGATTCCAGTATTTGTCAAAACTGACCATGTTGCAGCTCTTTGACAACCAATTGACAGGTAGCATTCCTCAAGGACTAGGGGTGTATAGTGCACTGTGGGTTGTTGATTTGTCAGACAATCTGCTAACAGGAAGGATTCCGCGTCATCTCTGCAGAAATGCAAACCTGACCTTCTTGAATTTGGGGTCCAACAAGCTCACTGGAAATATCCCACCTGATCTCACAAACTGCAAGCCCTTGGTGCAACTTCTTCTTGGTGGAAACAGTCTCACAGGAAGCTTCCCATCTGAAATGTGCAAGTTGGTTAACCTTTCTGCAGTGGAGTTGGACCAGAATAAATTCAGTGGACCAATTCCTTCAGCCATTGGGAAATGCAGTACTTTGAAAAGGTTGCATCTTTCAGACAATTACTTTTCATTGGAGTTGCCAAGGGAGATTGGTAACCTTTCCCAGCTGGTGAACTTCAACATCTCATCAAACTTGCTTATTGGAAGGATACCACCCGAAGTTTTTAACTGCAAATTGCTTCAGAGACTTGATCTTAGTCGGAACAACTTTACAGGTACCTTACCAAGTGAGGTGGGAATACTTTCTCAATTGGAGCTTTTGAAGCTGTCAGACAATAAACTGTCTGGGATTATACCTGTGGAACTGGGAAATCTCTTGCGCTTGACTGAATTACAAATGGGTGGCAACTCATTCTCTGGAAAAATACCAGCTGAGTTAGGTTTGCTCTCCAGCTTGCAGATCGCATTGAATCTCAGCTATAACAATCTATCTGGGTTGATTCCTCCACAGCTAGGGAATCTTGATTTACTGGTGTATCTTTTGCTCAACAACAACCATTTGACTGGTAAAATCCCTGACTCTTTTGGCAAACTGACAAGCTTACTTGGATGCAACTTTTCATTGAATGACTTAGTAGGGCCTATACCATCTCAAGCACTCTTCCAGAACATGGCTATGAGCAGCTTTCTAGGAAATAAAGGGCTCTGTGGGGGACCTCTTGGTGACTGTAATCAATCTCCATCATCATTCTCTCCTCCATCAAATATAAACGAGAGAGGTACTCATTTAGGTAAAGTTCTTGCTATAGCTGCAGCAGCTATTGGTGGCATGTCTCTCATTTTAATTGTAGTTCTATTATATTTCATGAGACGTCCACTTGAGATAGTTGCTCCTTTGAGAGAGAAACCATCTGCTTCTCTCGTTTCAGACATTTACTTTTCCCCAAAGGAAGGTTTCACCTTCCAGGACTTGGTTGCGGCCACTGACAATTTTGATGATAGATTTGTTATTGGCCGAGGCGCTTGTGGAACTGTATACAAAGCAATCTTGCCAACTGGTCATATTGTTGCTGTTAAGAAGCTTGCTTCTAACACAGAGGGCAGTAACAGCATGGATAACAGCTTCCGTGCTGAAATTCTAACCTTGGGAAATATCAGGCACCGTAATATTGTAAAGCTGTACGGTTTTTGTTACCACCAAGGTTCAAATCTTCTTCTGTATGAGTACATGTCCCAGGGTAGTCTGGGTGAATTGCTTCATGGAGCATCCTGCAGTCTTGATTGGCGAACACGATTCTTCATTGCTCTTGGAGCTGCTCAAGGTCTTGCTTATCTGCATCACGATTGCAAGCCCAAGATTTTCCATCGTGATATAAAGTCCAATAACATCCTGCTTGACGAGCAATTTGAAGCTCACGTCGGGGATTTTGGACTAGCTAAGGTCATTGACATGCCACAATCCAAGTCAATGTCTGCCATTGCTGGTTCTTATGGTTATATAGCTCCAGGTAAACTGTCTATTTGAGCCATTCTATTTACAAAATATTAGTTCTTGTGAGCACATTGCAAAGTTATTTAACTCTTCACTGCTTATAAACCAATGTCACTAACCTATCTTGAAGCAAGTAACCTTTCACTTAAGTAATGAGATGAGCTTCCAAAAGGAAAAAGGTTAAAACCCCAATTTGGTCTCTCTATTTTGGTAAAAAGCTGCTTTTCAGTCCCTCTACTTAAAAAAATCCCTTTTTGATCCCTAAAGTTTGAAATCCGGTCTCTTTTTAGTCACTCTATTAAGTTCTGATGTTAAATGATGAAAATTTCAAAGGAACCAAAAAAGGGCTTTTTTCTAAAGTAGAGGGATCAAATTGGAGCTGTTTTTAGTCCACTTTTAGCCTCTTTTGGTCCCTCTACTTTGAAACTTTTGTCATTTAATGTAGCACATGTGCAAAACTTAATGGAAGGATTAAAAAGAGTTAGATTTCAAACTTTAAAAATCAAAAAGGGACTTTTTTAAGTAAAAGAACTAAAAAGGCACTTTTCTTACCAAAGTAGAGGGACCAAAATGGAATTAGACATAGAATTTCTTAAGCATGGCAGATTCAGAGTTACTTTAGAACTGCACAAAGGATGGATGTGGACATTAGAGGTAACTTGATGATCAAATTGGTAAAAATCAAGAGTTTTCCCATCAATTTGCTTGTGCACATGCCTTTCTACCTTTTCTCTGATGTTTGGTCTGCTGTTAATGCTGGGGATTAATTTAAGTTATATTATCAAAAAATTCGGCTTTTATCAACTCCATATATTAAAATTGCAGAATCTTCTTACTCACATGTTTGTTGTTAAGATTGTAAAGTTCTTTTATCTCATATATTTACTTCACCAGCTAATGATTCTTTTCATTAAATGACAGAGTATGCATACACCATGAAAGTCACCGAAAAATGTGACACCTACAGCTACGGAGTTGTCTTGTTGGAGTTGCTGACGGGCAAAACACCAGTTCAACCTCTAGAACAAGGTGGTGATCTTGTCACCTGGGTGAGAAACTATGTCAGAAAGCATTCCTTATCATCTGAAATACTTGATGCACGATTAATTCTACAAGAAGAGAAAACTGTTTCTCATATGATTACAATCTTAAAAATTGCTTTGCTGTGTACAACAATGTCTCCATTAGATCGACCAACAATGCGGGAAGTTGTTTTGATGCTCATGGAGTCAAATAGGCGGGAGGGCCATTTTGATTCACTCTCCAGTAATGATACTGATTGAAATAATGAAATGCTATTGTAGAAATAATAATTTTGGTTAACCAACCTAATTTTTCATGGTATGGATAGTTTACACAGGATAGTAGACTGTCTTGTATATTCCTCCGAAAGTGTCATTGCTCTTCTATTATGCCATATATATAATACATGCTCAACTTCTTCCCCGCCTTTTCTTTATTCGATCTGAGCAGTAATGTTTTTTCTTGAATTGAAATAGTAGCACAGATGCCTGGACATCTATTTTGGCACATGGGAATGGTTATGGCCACCATCAAATATACTAAGGTCACCAAAATTGTAAAATATTGTTTTTAAAAATACTGATTCTATTTAACTTGATTGATAAATATAATTAATAACTATAATTATTATTAATTAATAACTAATAAAACAATTTATATTTATTAGTTAATAAATTAAAATCAATTAATAAATTGACATTTTTAGACATTGTTTAAAGAGCAAACCTAAAATATTGGTGGCTTTAATATCTTTGATAGTGGCAATAACCACCCAAGGTGGGGCTAACATTTTTCTTTTCTTTTCTTCTCTTTTTTTTTTTATTTTTTTTATTTTTATGAAGGGAAGGGAGAATTTTTATTTAACGGAGCTAAACATCTGAAAAAAAAAAAATTTGTTGCTAATGAGATGAATTGATATATACACTACAAGAGAAAGGGTTTTTACTGATAAAAATTTGTGGTAAATTTAAAAATTATCATTATAATCCATTACAATTGTCACGCCCCAGAACCCAAATCCGAGACGCGACAGACGCCGTGCACTCGTGAGACGGGTCCCACAAGTGCACAAGGCTTGGAACTTATTTAAATCACAATCTGATACCACAAAATCTCAAGATCAAATTTTTACAATCTGCTCTGATATCATAAAATCTCCAAATACACTCTAGCTTATAGGATCATGACTTATTTCTAAATCTATATCAATCTCGAAATGGATAGCCTTCTAACTCGTCACTCCCCTTGATTTCCCCGTCCTCGGTATCGCTTCCTGAAATGGTGGACAAGGAAAACTATGAGATAACTCAGTAAGTAAATATGGATAGCCCCTGGGTAAAACTTTTAACATGCCAGATAAACCATGTAACCATAACAGAACTTTCACTGATAAACTGTTAATGCGAAAATCAAATTCGGTTCAATAACAAAACGTTTCCTGGCAAATCGTTAATGCAGAAGAAAACTCAGTTCAGTCGTCTCATCTATAAGTCATGGCCAGTGTTATAACAACCCACTGGCAGGCGACAGAAATTTGCCAATGTATTCGCCCAATGGCAGGCGTCAGAATAAACCGGTCATATCAATAAACATGTCGACATATGCTAGCGTTACACCCACTAACGGGGATCAGGGATGCTACACACCCACTAGCGGGGATCAGGAGTGCTAGCGTTACACCCACTAGTGGGGATCAGGGATGCTACACACCCACTAGCGGGGATCGGAATTCATGACTATATCAGAGACAAAACCATGTAGGATTACAGAAAAAACCCCAATTTCACAATCAATCCCGAATTTCAGAACAAACTGGAAAATTTCCATGCGGGCATGGATTTAACAGAAAACTCAACATTTACAAAATTCTCAGTTCATCAAAGCAGTTCAGTCAATTCCCAAATAGGCATGCTCTATTCCAGAAAAACAATGAAATTCTCATTTTCATTTCTCAATCAGGCTCATTTCCAGAAAATCAATAAAATCCTTATTTTCATTCCAATCATGCTCAATTTCAGAAAAAAACAAGGAAATTCTCATGAAAATCATCCAAATTCTCATTTCAGTTTAATCACCCTCAGATGCTGATAAAATCAATTTAAAATCAATTTAAACCTTGCCACCATCTCAAAAACAGTTTAAAACATGCTTTAAAATCGAAGGGCTTTACCATGATTTACTTACCTTACTCGCACAGAACAGAAGGCTAACCCAAGTGCTACGGTGACAGAACGATCAAAACCTAATCACAATATTCCACAATTAATACCGCGCTACCACAAATTCAAAGTAAAATCATCATCGGGACTACCCCTAATCACGGTGCTATTTCTATCAATCTTCACATAACCGGACATCTCCACATTCATTCTTATATCACAAACTAATCATTTAAATCCCCGTTAATTATTGACCCTCGATGTGTGAACAGTGCCTATGAACAGTACCCGTGAACAGTATCCACGACGTGAACAGTAACTGCAATCCTCCAAAATAATCTCACGGGTTTTCTCCAAAAATCACTACAGGCCAACTCAAGCTAATTTTCTACTTAAACCACACTTAAAAACATAGCTTAAAGCTACCAAAATTCATTCCCAATTTCAACAGAAATTCCCGAACAGTACAAGGGCAAATCAAAGGCAGAAAATTCAAGATTCAAGGCAGCAAATCAACGGACAAATTCGGGGTTGGAGGGCTGTCACATACCAGAATTTAACAAGCAAAACCGAGCCTAGCAGGGGGGAGAAGCCGGCGGCAGAGAAGAAGAAATTCTGCAGGGGAACTCGCGGCTACCCAATCCAAAAACCAAAACACAATTCAAGGTAAACCCAAGCCAAATTCAAAGCTAAAGAGATGAATTCATGGCTAAATCTTACCAGAAAAAGCCGAAGGATTCAAACCCAGCAGAACCCGACGGACAAGGGAGGAAGAAGCAGAGCAGATCCGGGATTTCTAGGTTGAGAGGGAAGATTCTAAGCCCCAAATCAATTCTTGAACAAGAAGGAAAGAAGAAATTTCAAGTCTTCTACTGGTTTTCAAAGGAGGAAGAAGTCGGTGGCTTAAGGGGAGCTTCGGGGGGAAGAGTCGGGAAGAAGAAGAAGATGAGGAAGAGCAAAACACGTGGCTGAGGAGAGAAATATCAGCCTTGATCCTTATCCTAATTTCCTTTCTTTTTAGTCCCTTAACTTTTAAAAAGTTTGCGATTAAGCCCCAAAACAATATTTTTCCTCAAATAAGTCATCAATTTAATGCTAAAATACCCCAAAATTTTGGGATATTACAACAATTGTGATAGATTTTAAATATTGGTCATAGATACACAAATGTTCAATGTTGACAAAATTAATTTGTCATTAAAATGATATTTCATCATTGAAGAGCAATCATAATTACAATATAGGTTTCTAATAATAAATATTATCACTACAACTTATCACAATGTTGTGATAGATTGCAAATATTGGTTACTCATGCTTAATTTTGATGAAATAAATTTGTAATTAAAAAGATATTTCATCAGTGAAAAATAGTCACAAATACAATATAAGTTTGTGACTATGAAAATCATCATTATAATTCATTACAATTGTGGCAAATTTAAAATGTTAGTTACAAATTTGTACATACTCAATGTTGACGAAATAAATTCGTAACTAAAAAGATATTTTATCAATGAAAAGTAATTATAAATATATTACAAACTAGTGATTATAAATAATCATTATTGTAAAATAAGTAATTATGACCAAAAAATTGTTAACCACAAATAATTAATATTTAATCACAAACACTAAATACTATTTATGATAAATTTTTATTCAAACAAATATTATATTTTATGATTATGTAATAGGTCTAAAACAAAGAAAATCACCAATTGTAGCTAATTTTTTCATCACTAAAATCCCTTCAATCCCAACATCCTCCAAACCACCACAATCTTTCTATCACCTAATTAACTCCATACTACAACTACCATTAAAAATAGAATATATATAAGAAAAACTACCATTAATAATAATATTAAAAAAACCACCCAGGATAATGACAAATATAGATTACTTAAGAAACTAAAATAATAAAAATATTAATTTTGTCATATATTCGATCCATTTCAAAACAACTTTTTATAAATTAAAAGTTTGGAGATAATTCATATATTTATCTATATTACATTAAAAAAA